TTTGAAAAGCATTTATAGAGTATCTTCTAGATTCTTGGTCCTGTGCTAGATGCTGATTATAAAAAGACATAGGCCCATACTTTTACTCTCAAGTTGAAAGAAATAGCTCATGGAAGACCAGTATCCTCACCTAAAACTACTAAAATGTCCACTAAAATTCAGAAACTATCTGTGATGACAGTAGAGAGTTGCTGAAGTAATCAGAACTAAAGGACTAAGACTCCAGAAAGGAAAGAACCTAGGAAAGGTAAGCTGCCCTTCTACAGCCATTTTTACCCTGGAGGCATTTGCTGATTCTAAACATGGGCAGAAGGCTGAAAAACTTGGCTGGGAGTCAGATAAGCTAGCAGAGCTTTGGGCAGACACTTGCAGATCAGCAGAACACATGGCCAGGTTTTCCCTCAGCACTTCTGCGGGAGACTGGGGCTGTGTGGGGCCTGAAGCCAAAAAACCTAAGCAGAAAGCCTCGGAAAAAGCAGAGTGGAATTTTTGTCTTTGTTCTAATTTTTTTAGCAGCTTTGAGAGATAAAAGATTAGAATCTGGAACCTATCCAGGCAAAGGACTCTGCAGAATACACCAAGCTCTCAGTTGAAAATCCTAGAGAATCTAGGGCAAACTAGAGGTAGACCGAGACTTTCCAGGATTGTGAACCATCCTCAACTCTCAGTGTGGTCACTGCCTGCTTAAGGTGATCAGCCATGACTCTATGTGACTTCTGAAGTGAAGGAAAAATTCTCTCTGGGGGAAATAGCATCATATGGACCTCTGTGTGTGTGTGCTTTTCACATAATGTTCATCACTTAATAAAAGTTACACTTTGAGAGGCCAAGGTGGGAGGACCACTTGAGGCCAGGAGTTTGAGACCAGTCTGGGCAACATAGTCAAACGCTGTCTCAAAACAAAAACAAAAACAAAAAACTAGCTGGGCATGGTGGTACATGCCTGTAGACCTAGTTACTCAGGAGGCTGATGGGAGGATTACCTGAGCCCAGGAGTTTCAGGCTGCAGTGAGCTATGATCATGCCACTTCAGACTTAATGACAGAGTGACACCTTGTCTCAAAAAGATAAAAATAAAAAAATAAAAATCACCAGGTATACCCACAGGCAGGAACACATGATCCTAAACCAAGTGAAAGAACAGACTACAGAAACAAATCTGCAGGTTAACCGTATATTAAAAGTTGGTAAGAACTTTAAAACACTATAATTAATATGTTTAAGAACAGAGAGGAAAATGTGGACAAAATAAACTAAATGATGAATAAAATAATTGCACCAGTGATTTAGATCTATAACAGATTCAAATGGAAATTCCCAAAAAGGAAAAACAGAACAATAACATTAAAAACTCAATAGACATTAAATGGCAGACTAGAGACAACAAATAGAAAGCAGGATCAGTGAACCAGAATATCTAAACCAAAGCATAGAAAGAAAAATAAAAAAATAAAACCCAGAAAAAAAGCATTGAAAACATATGGGGCTCAGTGAAAAGATCTAACATTTGTGTAATCAGAGTGCAAAAAAGAGGAAACAGAGAACAAGATAGAAGCAAATCTGAAGAGATAATAGCTAGAACATTCTTAAAACTGATTATGGTCATCAACCTACCGCTTCACGAAGCTCTGTGCTCCCAAACAGAACAAACACAAAGAAAACACACCAAGATACGTCACAGTAAGACTGGTGAAAACAAAGACAAAGAAATCTCAAAAGCAGAAAAAAGAGAATTTTTAATGGAGCAACAAAAAAGATTTACAGCCTACTTTTCTACAGAAATGATGGAAGTCAGAAGACAATGGAGTGGCATCTTCAGGTAAAGTATTAAAAGAAAATAACTGCCAATTTGTAATTCTATACCAGCAAAAATATGCTTCAAAAATGAAAGTAAAATAAAGATTTCTACTAGGCAAACAAAACAGAGAATCTATCACCAGCAAACCTGTACTGAAAGAAATGCTAGAGTTCTTTAGACACAAGGAAAATGATCCCAGAGGGAAACATGAAATTATACAAAGTAATGAACACCAACAGAAAAGGTAAATATGTGAATAAATATAAAAGAACAGTCTTATGAGGCTTAAGTATTAAGAATTAAAATGCGTGCAACATAAATGCAAAAAATTGAAGCTCAATAAATGCAATGAACACATTCTAAGATTCTAGTATTAAAAGCAATAAAAGTGATCATTTATATTATTCTGTTATAAGTCAAGGTACATGTTACCATCTCTTGGGTAACCAATAATAGAGTAATTTTAAGAATTTTGTTCACCCAAAAGCACTAAAGTCAAGTCTACAGGATTGTCACCACTGCTGTGATGCTCTAATGGGAGAAAACAGAAAAGAGTGGCTTCTTCCCTAAGGGCAGGGGATTCGCCTCAGCAGCTAAACATCTGGGCAGAGTTAATACTGGTATCTAAAACCGTGAAAGTCCTTCTATAGTCAGCACCTCTCAGTTTTCCAACACAGCCAAGTACCTTTCCTTGAGGCATCTCCATTCATTTATTTATTCACTCCCCTAACAAATCCTTACTAAGGGGTACCTGGCCTTGTGCTGGGGCTCGGCCCATAGAAACTGAACCAGAAACAATCCCAGTCTTCAATAAACTCACATTCTATTGAGACAGATAATTAAACCAGACCTCTCTCAAACTTAAATATGCAAACAAATCACCTGAAAATACTGCAGGCCTGGGAGAGAACTTGAGATTCTGCATTTCTAACAAGCCCCAGGTGATGCTGATGTTGTTGCTTGGAGGAATGCACTGTGAGTTACAATTGAAAGACAGAGTGAGAAACACTGTGATAAAATTGTAGCTCAGAGGGGTGAAATAGCTTGCTAGAACTCACAATAATTTGAATAACTGGGACAGGACCCAAGATATTATCTGACTCCAAAGTTTGTGTATGCTCTTTCCTGCCTCCCTTAGGGAGAAGAGAGGGGACTATGGAAACAGGTAGCATCTCAGTCTGATTTATGTTGCTATAAGAGAATACCTGAGACTGGGTAATTTACAAAGAAAAGAGGTTTATTTAGTTCATTGTTCTGCAGGCTGGGAAGTTCAATGGCATGGCATTGGCTTCTGGTGAAGGCTTTTGTGCTGCATCGTAACACGGAGGAAGGTCAAAGGGGGAACAGGCAAAAGGGACCAAACAAGAGGAGGAACCTCACTTTATAACAACCTGCTGTCTTGGGAACTAATCCATTCCCTCAAGTGAGAACTAGCTCACTCCCACAAGATGGCATTCATCTATTTATGAGGGATCCACCCCCATGACCCAAACATCTTCCACTAGGCCCCACCTCTCAACACAGCTGCACTGAGTTTTAGGGGGGACAAAGCATATCCAAACCATAGCAGGTAATCAGCATTTAGTCCAGCCTTTGGCCAATGTTGCCCAAGTTGGATCTTAATAGATGAATAGGAGCTTGCCTGACAAAGAAGTAAGTCAGGGAGAAGGCTCCCAGTGCAGTAACTGGCACAAAAACACAAAGGGTGAGGTCGGGATTTGAATCTCATTCCACTACTGATGAGCTTTAAAATTATGGATGACTAACCTAATTGCTATGTCTCAGTTTCCTTAACTATAAAATGGAGATCATCATAACAGCACCCACCTCATTGGGTTGGTGTGAGAATTAAATGAGCTGGTATGTATAAAGGGTTTTGAACAGTGTGTGGCACAGAGTAAGTGCTCAATAAACATTAGCTCTGATTATTCCAGCAGTTGCTCAATATAAAGGATGAACAGTGGAAGGAATGAGGGTATTTTGGGCAGAAGGATTCCTCCTGTGCCTGGGACTGGTTTATCAGGGTGGGGACTGGGAAAGCACTGCAGTTATTGCCCAGAAGGACTGCTGCTCTGTTCTGGTGGGGAGGGACCCAGTTGTACTCTGGGGCACACCATCCCAAAGCACCTTCCACCCCAAAGCACTGTCACATCTGTTAGCTCATCTCTTCTTAGTGACTCCAGAGGGCAGTCAGAATCATGTTATCCATTTTAACGATAGGAACACTGACACCCAGAGAAGTGAAGTGACTTGTCCATTACCTCCCTGGGTATTAGAGGCAGGAAGTGTGGTTAATTTTAGGTGTCATTGTGATTGGATTAAGGAATATGGAGAGAACTCAAAAAGCATTGCCTCTGGATGTGTCTGTATGGGTCTTCCCACACACAGGAGACTGGCATGTGTGTCAGTGGCCAGGGTGGGCACCGTCCAATTGGCTGGGGCCCAGGACAGAACAAAAAGGGCAGAAAGGTGATTTCCTCTCTCTCTCTCTTTCCCCACTGGAGCTGGGACACTCTTCTCCTGCCCCTGGACATCAAAACTCCGGGCTCTCTGGCCTTCGGACTCCAGGACTTACGCCAGCAGTCCCTGGGGTCCTCAGGCCTTTGGTCTCGAACCAAGAATTACACCATTAGTTTCCCTAGTTCTGAGGCCTTCAAATTTGGACTGAGCCAGAGTACCAGCATCCAAAGGTCTCCAGCTTGCAGATGGTGTGTCATGGGACTTAGCCTCCATAATTGCATGAGGCAATTCCCCTAATAAATCCCCTCTCACATATCCCTCTGTCTATCTATCCTACTGCTTCCATCCCTCTTGAGAACCCTGACTAATACAGTGAGGAACTCCTTATTCCCTGGCCAATACTCTTTCCAGAAAGACCTCGAGCACCATCTCAGGAGAAAATCAATACCCAAAACCTCCAGGGCAGAGTCTGAGATTTCCTACCTGGCCCAAAGCTGTCATGTTCACTAACCATAGCACTGATCAAGCAAAGGGGACTTCTATTTGTCAGAGTGACTGCAAGGATGTACTTGGTTCTGCCTTGATTTGGAAAGAAAGACATCCAAAGGAAAAGATAATAGGGAAAGAGGTATGGTGTTTAAGATTAAGAGGCAATTGGAAATCAATGTCCTGTCCTAATGCAGGCCTTTCCTGGGACACACATGGGTATGCACACACAGGATGCAGCAGCTGGACTTCCTACCTGGTAGACTGCTTGGCCAGCATGGCCACGTAGGTGACCACGAAGCTCTGAAACTTAGCCCGTTGTTCCTCCCAGCGGTCATCCACTGAGTAGTAGTTGGGCAGGGGTGCTCCAAACAGGATCTCACTGCGCAGGAGAGAGCTCTTCAGATTGTCTGCAGAGAGGCCCTCATCCACATACCAGTAGAACTCAGGGTGAGTCATGGCCAGCTCCAGGGAGCCTGCGAGGACAGCGGTGGGGGCCTCAAGAGTTCAGCCGGTCAACTCCCACCAACCCTCCCTCAAGGTCATCCAGTCTCATTGCAGCCCTGCCTCCCAGGATTCCCCTCTGTCCACATCCACCAAAACTCCACCCCAGGTCCCACAACCTCTCTCTGAACCTGCCCCACCCTTCCTCAAGCCCCATTCCTAATTTACCTAAAACGAACCCTACCTCAGTCTTCTTGAACCCCAATCTTTCTCCTGTCTTCCTCTGGCCAGATTCCTGGTTCTCTATAGCCACATCCTGGCCTTTCTCTAACCAGCCTCACACACGAGCCCCACTCTACGCTTTCTCTACCTCTGACCACAACAGAACCCCCACCATCCTTCACCTGGGTCTGCATCCAAGCTTCCCTCTTTGGTTCCCTCTCACGCTCACCTCACACCTCAGCCCAGTCCTTTTCACCTTGTCCTCCAGCTATGCCCAGGACTCAGCTCCAGACTGACTGGGCCTGGGCCTGGACCAAATCTCCATAAAAAGCTGTATAAAACCAGGACCTACGCCCCACCCCAGCATCCTGGCGGCTCACCCCGGATGTCCGCCAGGTCCTGGCCCATGCCGTCATAGTAGATCTTGCCGCCCCTCTCAGTGGGAAAAAAGTAGGTCATGAGCGAGCTGGGAGGCGAGCAGTAGGAGTAGGAACCCAGTGGCAGGTCCTTGAGCACCTCGTGGGGCTTCCAGCAGAACTCCCGGAAGCCTGGGTGGTCCATGATCTTGCGCTCGATCTCATGGATCGTGACCAGCCGCTCACTGGTGAAAATGTTGCGCTCTGCGTCGCCCCGCGCCAGGAAGATGAGCTCGATGCGCCAGTGCGCGTGCGTCTGGGTGTTAGCACTCACATATGCATGCGAGTAGTCCCAGCGGGAGGTGCCTCGGCGGGCACGGCTCTGATTGGCCGCAGCTGCCGCGGGGGGCGGGATGCTGGGCGGGTGCCACCCATTCTTGCTCAGCCGCTGGTTTCGCGGGTCTTCACTCTGGTTGGCTGCCAGATCCTCCAGGGGCGGAATCTCACGCCGAAGTCGCCCGCTCCGATTGGCTGTGGGCTTTTGGGCCGCTGAAGTGTCCCGGGACAGGCCTGGGCCGCGGAGTGAGGCCGCGGGGATGACACGCGGGGCTCGGGAGGCTTGCCGCGAGCGGTTGCCGAGATGCAGCTGCTGCAGCTGCTCTGAGATAAGGCGCTGAAGCGTCTCGGAGGTGAAGTCGGCTAAGTCACGCCGGTTCCGCCCCCAGGATCCAAACTGGGACTTGAGCGCCAGGGTGAGGGCGTCAAAACGCTGCGAGGCCTCATGGTTGCGGATTTCAAAGGCGTTGTAGGAGATGTCAATGTCCAGTGGTGGGTAGTAAAGGAACATGAAGGCTGACAGGGCCATGGGAATGCTGCAGCCCAGGAAGAGCACCAGCCCAGCACAGCAGGGATTGGTGAAGGCCCAGCCCAGGGTACTCCAGAAGCCTGAGGCTGGGGGCCGGGAAGGCAGGGGCCAGTGCCGCCAGCAACACTGCCCTCCTGCCCCAAGTTGAGGCCCTGGTTTCTGGGCCCCTGGAAAGGCTTCACCCGTTGCTTCTTCTTCCTCCTGCCCCTCTAGCCACACATCGTGCAGCAAGGGGTCATCCTCCATGTCCATAGCCTGCAGGAGAGGGAGAGGGTCAGCAGGCTAGAGAGACAGGGACGGGAAGGTGCCCTGTGGTGCAGTTCGCCCAGTCCTAGGTACCAACCCCGTCCACTCATAACCAAATACTAATACTGCAATGGAATGGCGTCAAGCATGCATCAACACAACTGAATTTAACCACCTGCGAAAAACACAAAGCAAATTCCTGTTATTTGCCCGTCACCTCTCCCTTTTGGATCTTGGCTTTCAAGGCCACAGAAAAAAGGAAAATCGCAGAACAATTGCAAACAGAAAAGATGTTTCTCCTGGGAGGAGGGATTTAAAAAAAAAAATTGACCACACAATTTTCTAATGTTTGCTGCATCCTTTGACTTTAGAACTCAGGCCCAATGTAAGATGCGACTCCACTGCAACCACTCTTATTTAATGAGCAGCTGTAAAGTACCTCTAGGAGGTATCAGGGTGCAAGGGAAAGAGCATGATCTTTGGAATGAGGCAGACCCTGATTTGGGTCCTGGCAGTCTGAGTATCCAAGGCAGTGAGCCTCCCTGAACTTGAGTCCTCATCTATAAAATAGAAGTGGCCATTGCTGCCTCGTACGACTGTGGAGTCAAAGGTGGAAGTACTCTGCAGTCTGTGTAGTACGTTAGTTATCTGTCACATAAGCAGATTTCCTTGCTCCCCGCTGGGGACTGTAACATGCTCAGCCATTACCCAGGAACTGTGCCAGGGCTAGGTGCCTGTCACAGCACTCTTGGAGAACCCTCAGTAGCTTCCCACCCCCTCTATGGGGTGCTGCAGCTGCAGCCACTGTTTGTCAGGCTCAGGCCACTTAATATGCAACTCCAGCAACATCAAACCTTTGGGCATGGGCAGGGGCTGGGCATCTGCCTCCCAGAGACTTGAGTGCAGCAGCAGGAGGGCCTGACAGAAGAGGGCAGGGCTGGGCAACCCGAGGACTCCAGCGGGGTGGCCCAAAGAGAGGAGGATTTCCGGCATCCCCGACATGGCCTGTCCCCCTTGTCCTGCCTGCCCTCTGGACAGAGAGAGACTCATTATCCAGTTAGATGCTAGGCAGTGAGAGGAGGAAGCTAATTATGCTAGCGCTAGCTAATTAATGCTGCCTTTCCTATTAACATTCTCTGGAGTGCTCCATTTCAATTAGATGATCTGTCCAGGAAGAGAGGCTGCCGTCAGTCCGGAGAAAGTAAGCAAGAGGAGGTGACAGAAGGAGGGTAACAGAGACAGAGACAGAGGAAAAGAGGAGAGAGACAGAGGGGAGAGTGGAATGGTCAGAGATGGGGGAGAGACTGAGATGCAAATAGGGAAACAAAAGAAGAAACAGGAAGAGTGACTGAGGATGTGAGGGACAGGCAGCAGAAGACTCGCAAGACAGAGGCCTGGAAGGGGCGGGAATTACTCCTGCAATATGCAAAATTCCTATCAATGAGATAATTAAACTTCCCATTTGCAACGCCCTAACACGAGCCTGCCAGCTTGCCAAGGGGATGGTAACTGCTCTGAGACCCCATTTGTATTCGCACTGGAGGCAGCTCAGACTCACCCCATCTCCAAAGGGAAAAACCAAGTCTGCATGTGGAGGTGAGGAGTGTGGGAGCCTCTGCCTGATTCTTGGCCTCAGAAGAAGAAAGCTGATGGGAATAAGGTGGAGACGGGAGGGGCCGTGTTTGCAGTTTTCTGGGAACTAAATCCATCCATCCTGCCCGTGCCTCAGCCTGCCTTGTGGGGACTACAGTACGTGTGTTGGTGTTGCAGGGGGTCAAAGGCCAGGGTTCTGGGTCACAGCAACACTCCCTGGGTGATCTGAAGGCCCCTTGATCCCATTGCTATTCCACCAGGAATGCCACCCCCTTCCCCTAGGGGTCCACATTGAATTCATCATGCAAGGCCTTGCTCAAGCGTTACCTCTTCCAAGAAGCCTTCCCAGATCTGAACCTCCCCCAGCTTCCTGTCTAAGCTTCTCGCCATCCTTACTAGATTTTGCCTGGTAAAAATTACTGCGGGGAAGGAAGGGAGAGGCAGTGTAGCAGCATGTTAAGAGCTACGGCTTTGGAGGCAGATAGACTTGGGTGCAAATCCCAATTGTAAGATTTAGCGCAGGCAGTGTAACCTCGCTGAGCTTCAGTCTCCCCATCTGCAGAACGGGTATAACAGTACTCACCACAGAAATTGTCAGAAAGATGGCATACACAACAGACTGAATACGGTGCCTGGTAGGTCTAAGTGCTTGGGAAATGACAGCTACCATTCTTTCATACGCTACTTCCCTCCAAAGGCTGGAACCCCTAACAGATACCTGTAGCGGGCTGTGTTTTCCAAAGACGGCTGCAACAATATCTGCCATCTCACATGCTTATCTCATGATGTGACTTTGACACTCCACCCATCAAGCAGGCAAGGCTGCTAAAGTCACCAACCCACCCAGATTCAAGGGGAAGGAACACAGGCATTAGGAAATAAAGGAAGATGCAGCTTCCTCCTAGCTCTCTTCAGACACTCATCCTTGGGATCAGCCACGGTGCTAACAGAACGTCCAAACGAGCCCCTGCAGAGAGATCACTCGTAGGACTTCCTGCTGACAACCAAGTTGACAGCCAGCATCAACCACCATGTGATGTGAGCATGTGAGCGACATGTGAGCGACATGTGAGCATGTGAGCCCCCGGTCATTGAGTAACCTCTAACCTTCAAGTCTTTCCAGCCGAGGCCCAGATACCACAGAGTAGAGCTCAGCCATTCTCTCCTGTCCTGACCTGCAGAATGCACGATAGTTGTTATACATCTCTGCACTCTGGGATGTTTTGTTACATAGCAATAGCAACTGGAACGATTGCAGTGAAGCCTTGTTCTGTATGTGTGGCTCCATGCCCTACAGACAGCATTTGCTGGATTTAAGTGACCAGAAAATTGGGCCCAGCCACTCCACCTCCCAGTGAGAGCCCCACAGGTGGGTAGATGTGAGCTTTAAGGGAACAGGGACTTACTTGGCTCTCGTATTCCCTGCTGGCTTCTCGTGGCCTAAAACACCCTTGGGGAGGGGGGCAGTCAGATGTGGAGAGAAAGAAGGAAAAGGAGTGTCTGATGAACTTGGGTTAGGTATTCAATAGAACTTTCCCCAGGACAAATGAATTAACAGCATTCATAGCGACCTGGATGAGATTGGAGACTATTATTCCAAGTGAAATAACTCAGAAATAGAAAACCAAGCATCGTATGTTCTCAATGATACATGGGAGCTAAGCTATGAGGAAGCAAATGCATAAGAATGATACAATGGATTTTGGGGACTTGGGAAGGGTTGGGGGGGCAAGGGATAAAAGACTATAAATACGGTACAGTGTATACTGCTCCAGTGATGGGTACACCAAAATCTCACAAATCACCACTAAAGAACTTATGTAACCAAGTACCACCTGTACCCTAATAACCTATGGACATTTTTTTTTAAAAAAGAACTTTCCCCTGGACAGAAAGGGCAGTCAGACCCCAAGCCACATAAGCATAGGCAGGGGATATAGCTTCCTCCGGTTTGGGAAGGATCTGGAAGAGTGTGAAATGGACAAGGCCGGAAGTGGATTTGATGAATTCTTGGTCTACCACGCACCCTCCCCACCCTGTACCTGCCTTCTCAGTCCTCCCCAAAATGAAAAGTGCCACAAGGGAATCACACAAGACTGGTGGTCAACTCATGTGTCACCAGGTCTGGCCCAGCCACCAGCTTTCTGGGTGGCCCTGGGTATGTCCCACCCCTCTTGGGGCCCTGTCTCCCCGATCTCAAAGCGGGATGGTAAAAGCCCAGGTCCTTCCAGCTGTGCCACCCCTGGGGTCTCCAAGAAACCCCAGACAGCTAGGCCATCCCACCTCCCAGTTTGCAGCCCGAGTAGGGCAGGAGCCATCTGAGAGTCCCTCGCACCAAACTGAGGCCGGGCTGGTAGGGGTGGAACACCAGTGCCTCAGCCAGCATCTCCCTCCGCAGGCCCCTCCACAGCCGGTAGGATGGGCAGCAAATTGTAAATCTGTTTTCCTTTCTCAAATGATGGGAATTGATTAGCTTAGCAAGGAGCTCCAGCTGCTCCATGGAAAGGAACTCAGGTGATTCCTGCGGTAGCTGTCACTGATTCAGACAAAGCCCCGAGTAGGACTAGGAGGACTGTGGCCATGGGGGTGGAGTGCGGTGGGGTAGACTGGGGGCTGTGACCAGGCCTTTCTGGGCCCTGGGAATGTTCTCCTTCTCAGTGACCAATGCCCTTTCTCTCTGCCTCTGTCTCTGTCTCTGTCACTCACATACAGGCACACTCAGAGGTAGTCAAAATTTAAACTCTGGGCCTCACTGGGGCCCATGAATCAAGGTGGACACACATCCACGAAACCGATCATCCTCGTCTTGGGAAAGGCAACTGGGGCAGCTGCTTAAAAGAGAACAACAGGCCCTAGGGAGCCTCGAAAGGGAAGAACTCACCCACTTTCAAGCCCAGCCTTGTGGAAATCCAAAGCCATATCTGCAGTCAAATCCCAGGTTTTTAACAGAAAAAAAAAAAAAACCCACATATATATGCATTTAAAAACCCATTAATAGCAGTAACCTGTTAGGGAGGGTTATGGGTGATTTTTATTTTCTCCTTTGTACTTGTCTCTTTCTAATTTTTCCGCAATGATCAGGTACGTCCTTAGTTTTAGAATCAGAAATAAATGTTATTTAAAAATAGAATATGTGTGTATGTGTGGGGAAGGGATTTTGCTAACAGCCTTCAACTCTTTGAGGAATTACTATAATAGGCAGGGGAGGAGGGCTCTGTCCTCCGAGGAGAGAAACCAAGGAGAGTTGGCGTAGGTTGTAGCAGGAGACAGCCCAGTGAGAAAGCAGAAGGACCTTGGACAGGGGGAGTTGGCAAATGCCCTATGGGTGAGTGAGTGTGGAGGGATCGTTCAATGTGCAGGAAGTAGATAATGGCCCACTGGACCCAGAAGAGACCTCAGAGTATACCTTGTCT